AAAAAAAAGAAAAGAAAACACTGACCTCACTAAAACTATTTTCCTTCAGCTGAAATAAGTTTCTTACATTTATATGGCCACTTTGGCCAAAGTCAGACTAGAAAAGACATACTTCTGATGTCATGCACCAGCTGTTTTTACGTTCCCTGGAGTAGCTGAATAAGACTGTGATTTATTATAGCAAATGAGAGTTTTGCCCTCTAGATTAAAACCATGAGTATAGCTCTGAGCTGCTTTTAAGTTTTTAGATAGGGAAAAAAGTCTATTTCAGTACTTGTTATTTAAATTGGTATAGAATATATGAAAATGATTTTATTGAACACTTAGAATTATGTTTTCTTCTCCATAAATGTAAATTACCTGTTTCTACGTTTTTTGTTTCTGAGATTTGCTTTTGAAACCTGAATTAAATGATATATTAGCCTTTGAACGTCATTCAGTTAATTCCAGGTAGTATTGCTAGTGTGCACTTTTTGAAGAGCTAAACTTCTGTCACTTTTAAATGGCTTTATTTTGTTTCCTTTTTGGGATGATAGTGCAATACAGAATGCACCAAATCCTGGAGGTGGTGACCTGCAGAAAGCAGGAAAGCTTTCTCCACTTAAAGTGCAGCCTAAGAAGCTTCCCTGCAGAGGCCAGACTACCTGCCGAGGATCGTGTGATTCTGGAGAACTAGGCCGAAACTCAGGAACATTTTCATCGCAGATTGAGAATACACCTATCCTATGTCCTTTTCATTTGCAACCAGTGCCTGAGTATGAGATTGTTTTTGTTAATATTTATTAATGCCAAGTTATTTTTCAGTTAGGGAAATCACATTTATTCTCCTTCATGCCGATTCCTGTTATATTGCCTTCACACTATGTGCTGGATTGCATTTTTATATGTGTTTCCTATTGTACTGAAATAAGCAAAGTTAATTAAAATGGTAGTCTCTAAATACCATTCTCTACTTCCATTCCTTAGGAAGCAAATCTTTTTTAAGATTTATGTGTAAATATACTTCTGCTAATGTAGATGGGAAAATGGGATCTCATCTTAAACTGTTAATTTTTTATTTTAGTGCATTTGCACTGTTCATATGCTCATTAGTCATTCATATTTCTTTTGTGAATTCCCTACTTATATTTTTTACCTTTTTTTCCTATTGGGGGTTTCTTATTTTTTCTTTTTGCGTTAAGAGCTCTATGTTAAGAATATAATTATTATCATATATGTTTCAAACCTAGTAAGCCCTTTTAAATAAGTGATTTTCCCATAGGGTACCATGAAAAGTAGTAAACATGCCTAGAAAAGAATCTTATTCTTATCTTAGGAATTGGTTAGTTTTCCTAATAGGTAATTTTTCACCATAAGAAAAAGTTCTGTGGCTTGACTCTTTAATATACTATAAAGTTTCCACAGTCTTATTTTTAGGAGAGTTATGTTGTTTATTCCATTGTTAATAGACTGTCTTTTTTTTTTTT